AATTTATTTACAGGAGGTTGCTGTAAAATTGGAATCAATAAGAGCTAGGCATCCACAATTGCTGTATGAAAGCAAGTTGTATAAAATTCTAAATGGTGGTATTGGTATCCCACATATCAGGTAGGAAATCTCAATTTTGGTAAATTAAACTTCCTTCTAAGCAACCTTGAGTGTATCACATTACCTACCTACTTACCTTCATGTTACTGCAATCAGTTGCAAATAGAAATGAATTGTACCATAGGAATACTTAATTACCTCTAAATTGCTTTCTTAATCAAAATTATCTTACTTAGTGGTAATCAGCAAATTACTTAAAACCAGAATATACTTCCAGAAATGCTAGTTTTTATATAGTTTTTCTCTTTACCAATTAAATCATAATTCAATTTCATGTCTAGTTTATTGAGAATAAATACAAATTATTGCAGATAGAAAATTATTTACTCAAATACATTTTTTTGTATTTTATATATATCTACACATAAGCATAATATGCCATTTAGGTACTTATAGAAAGTCTTTTACAGTTAAAAACAAAGTAAATAAATCATTGGTTTTTCCAAATAATTAGTTCCATAAAAGGAATGACTACAACTTATTTCTTCATAACTTCTTAAAAACAGTCCATGCACAAGTTTCATAATATTTGCTTTATAAACTGCAGTGACCTTCTTCCTGTTATTTTTAGTTGCATAGTCAAAGGCAAATTTAGCTATCCTTTGAGACTTCTGTTTGGTTTTTGTATTGATTTAGATATATATCTACCTATAAGTTTTCTCTGCATAATATGTCATTTAGATACTTATAGAAAGTCATTCAAACGTTTTATAAGTAGGTAGGCAGTTAGCCAATATAATATGACTTAGTAAAGTCAGTTTTAACGATACTTTGAGTGATAAAAATGCACTATTGTTTGCGTGAATGTTGTTGCACTAATTAGCCATAAATTTGATAATAATTAACTTTCATTACGTAGAAATGCAGTGTAAGTAATCTTACTGTTTGTATTAAACCAATTTATACGTAAAAACTGGACTGATTTTTTTTATTTAAATTTGTTTGAAGTGATACACCATTTATTATTTTTAGTTTTTTTACATACTTGTTTATTCTATAATTTAATTAACCTCGCTGCCTACTTAATTAATAAAAACTTCTTATTTTTTGCTCGAATTACCAGATTTATGAAATGTTCGTATCTAAAACGACATATATTGAACATCCAGTAAAGCAAAATTGTATTATTAGTCATAATTAGTATGAAATTTTTGAGGATCTAAAAAGGGCGATATNATTTAATTAACCTCGCTGCCTACTTAATTAATAAAAACTTCTTATTTTTTGCTCGAATTACCAGATTTATGAAATGTTCGTATCTAAAACGACATTTATTGAACATCCAGTAAAGCAAAATTGTATTATTAGTCATAATTAGTATGAAATTTTTGAGGATCTAAAAAGGGCGATATTTTTTTGAGTTGATATTTTTGTAGCTCTATACGTAATTTTGTTTTTATTATCTTAGGTAAAGTAAAATTCCTGTTATTGACATATTTGTATATCATATTTGAAAATACATATCCAAATATTTGGTGTCGTTGCACTCGAAATAATTTACCATAGGAACATAATTGCGGGATTGAGTTTCAGTAATTTTGGCGTCAACAACTTCCGCTAGAAAGGCGGTTTTCCCTTAAAAAAGCTAAATTAGGGAATCGATTGAATACGTAACTTGATATCCGTCCTCAGTGAATTAACTTTTAACAGGACTGACAATGTTTCCTATTTCAAGGAAATAAATTTTTAGAAGAGTAACTGACAGCAAAGTTGTATTTTTAATATCTGAAGTAATTTTTTAGTTTTTGATAACATATCATAAAAGGGAATAGTTTCTGTATAACTTACCGATTGCAAATACTGAAAAACAAATGTGTGCCTCCTATATTTAAATTTCTAATTGCATTTTCAAACTGTAAATGTGACTTTTCCGAGAAACGTACTTAAAACTTTTCTAATAATAATTCCTTTTCCTTTTTTTAATAGGTATTTCGTGCATTTATTAACAAACTTTTATGTTTTAAAGTCAAATAGGTATTTTGTTATCATAACTTTTGTATTTACAAAAGTAAAGTATTAATTTCGTTTATTTAAAAAAACAGACAACTGCTAAAATCTACACTTGTAAATACAACTACCTGCAAGCAATTTATCTGATTAACTGTATGATACTAAAAATGTCCTAAGGTTAACATTTGATCAAAACTAGAAAATGGCGCACACTCGTTATGATTTACTTTATACCGAAAGTACTAAAATCATTGGCTGTATTCATCGTCATCCTTCATCATGTACGAAAAAAGGCCCCCGGAAAAGAATTCCCACTCAAAAAAAAATAATACCCTTGATTTATTATAAGGTAAATGGTAAATTTTATTAGACAGTTTTTATGGCTGTCTAAATCGTATACTACATGTAAACAAAAAAATACATATTTGTGTGATTATTGCAGAAAAAAATGGTTTACTTCTTTTATTATTTAGTTTTCTAACAATTTATATTCATATAAACGTACAGAATGTAATACAATTTAATAGAAATAAGAATAGATCGAGTAGATAATTAGCTACAACGTCATCATCTGTTGTTTAAAATTGTAATATTAGTAGAAAACAAACTCTTGTGTGTGAAGCATTAGTATTCTTATTTAAACAACAGGTAAACAATAGGTAATTAATAAGTGCTTGTTGGGAAGTCAACCCCCAACATAATAATATCGTTACATATATTAGTAAAAATAAAACAAATCAAGCAGGTAATTAACTAGAACTCATGATGTCTATTAACATTGTCATCATCAAGAAAAACAATAACTTGAAGTGTTGATTTTTTAAATTATTTGATAACATTCAGAATAAATTTTTGGTGATTTTTTCCAAAGTGGTTTTTTTCCGAGGTGATTTTTCCGGGGGGCTGTTTTCCTAGGTCCGTTTGTAATACATATACAGATAGCAAGAAACTTAATTTGATATTTTTATATGAGATTCATAAGGTCCCTATGTCGTACATCTTTCTTGTTAATAGGTATAAGTGTTGCAACACTTAATTTATCAAATTTGAATTATTGGTTAATATCTTCACTCGTTTTTCTTCGTCGATGGACGTTTGCAATCTTTATTGTCTATCTAATTTTCTGGCTCCTGCACAGAATATCTTATCAACGTCATTCTGAGCCATTGCCTGAGGTTAAGTAGCCAATATTGGACGGATTCGACATATTCTTCTACTCTTCATTGTTCCCTTGTACATTTACAAGTTTGTCCACTCTCGTTTTGTATTAAAATGGCCAGAGTGTGTCTGTAGTAAATTTTTGTATACACCAGGGAACTCTTTATTACTCTTTGTTCCCATTTTCTCAGCACTTATGTACACAATCGACAAGAAATTAATTCGTTTACTAATTAACAAAAGAAAGCATTACGTATAAGCTATTTACTTTTTTAATATTTCGTTGATTGAAGTTTTACTATTGAATGAAGAATAATCTTAGTTATTCCCATGGCTTCTTTGTCTTATGTGCAGTCTGTTAATACAAATTCATTGTAATTGATAGTGAAAGTAACTGGCTAAGTATATTTTTAAAAAAGCCAACACAGGTACAACTATATCCCCGTATTTCTTCAATGGTAGGTGTACAAAAAAAATAAACGTGGGTTTTCAAATATTTATCTCTTAGTCAATCAATTGCTTGATGATGTTTACCTTCCCAATTAGAATATTGTCAAAGCCTATACAGAAACTTTAATAGCATTGCTAGTGTAAATGACCTATTTCGCTAGTTTCTTAAAAGATTTGCTTGTCTGTGATTGTTCATGATTTATAAAAATAATTAGAACGTCTAGTAACAAATTGACAATAAAAATATTGTTGTTCTTTAAAGCTTTTCGTATGATCTTCGGTAACACCACTTTGTCAGTACATATGGGTAGTACTTATTTGCTTTATGTATTTTCTCGTGAAAGTTTGATTCATAATTTACCTGGTTGCAATTTTTTTTTTAAAGGTCACAATTTTATTAAGATTATTAAGTATAATTCTTCACATGCAGAGGTGAAGTGTCATTACTGAGTACCCAATGTTAATAATGGTAATTTCTTACAAAAGTAATTAGCTAATTAGTATTTGGAAGTAAGAATTATTGGATTTAGTAAATTGTTGAGAAGACGTAATAGAATTTAATATGCTTAATAATTTTGTCGAATATAAAATGTTTCTTAAATATCTCTTCTTATGAGAATTAAAATTAAAATGTAGTTCTCTCAAATATGCATATCTTCACATGACACATTAAATTTTCATAAAAGTCTGTTCTACACTTATCAAGTAATAGCTTTAATTTTACAGATAGGGGATAGCACAGTAATTAAGAACATAAATTTAATTAAAAAGTTGAGAATGCTATAAGGTAAAGTAGCATTCAAATTATTAAATAAAATTAGTTGTTAATTTAAAGGACGTTTCCGGGAATTGATTGTCCAGGGTACCCTGTTTAAATGCTGGTCATCGTAATCATAATAATATTATAAACAAAACTTAAGAATTTAAAATCATTTTTAGTTGCAATACCTTGTGGGGTATTTGGGAATAATAATTTTGGCATTTTTACTGTATGGTAGGACGGGTATTGGACAGACCTACTCTTAAAATCTGGAATTGTGATATGATACAGGAAAGAAAACAATTTTTTTTCTTTGTCTACCTACTATTTTTCTTTGAGAAATGTAATTTTTAAAATTAATTGCTTTTGTTTTTTGAAGAAAGGGGTTTTAACAAATTGATATCTTAATAGAGGTGTCTATACATATAAAATCACTATTTATAATTAAGGTGAATAGTAGTCTCATATAAACTAAAAAGAGACTCAACCTAAGTATCCACAAAACTTAATTGCGAACACGTGTTTTGTCCATTTCTAATGAATCTTGGGTTGATAATCTCCACATTAGAAGTGGACGAAATACGTGTCTCCTGTGAACCTGTTTTGTGGTGTAGGGTGAAATTGTTTATTTATTTATTTATTCCTTTGCCATAATCTTTTTCCCTTATCCCAAAAAAAATTT